AATGAATATACTTGATATATATACCTTGCTTTATTGTAAGCGAAAATACATATTTTAGTTACATGTATATTTCGACAATTTTTTATGTAAATAAACTGCATTATCATTAAATTGGGTTTTGGTTTAAGTAATGTTTCAAAATATCGCAAAGATGAAAGACAGTTCTGCTGGCGTTAGTTCCCGATAAATTTGTTGCTTTTCGTAGCATGCCATCACGTATTTTCACAAAAGTACATAAGAAAACATTGCTGCAGCCTTCTCGGGATTCATGTAAATACGGCGCAATTCGACAACACGGCATTGCACTTCTTATCCATCTTCCAGTTGTATTTTGTACCTCTTCATAAACATTTACGTAAACAACCATTAGCCATATGATTTTGCTTTAGCAACGCACGCAAGCTGTATGCGTTATGCATTGCGTGTTGCTCTCAGTCATATTCTATTTCGCGCTAACGTCTGTCGCTGACTTAGCGAGCATGAACTGTAGTAATGCAAACCGGTTGCATAATTCAAAACAGCCCTTTTGTAGTGCAGAAAGGCTTTGAACTTATTCTCTTTTTATAATTTCACTATTTCATGCTTTTTTGCTTTTTTGCAAAGGTAAAAATAGAACGAGGAGAATCCGTTGCCGCGAGAGTTACATTCTTGTACCTTTAGCAGGCTTAAAAAATATGCAATTGAATCGAGACGACTTCTTGTTTGTTGAAAGTGTAACTCACAAATAATATCCTCACTGGTACTAGGACAAAATTCATTAAAGTTATATATCACTTCTAGATATAAGCGGCCTGCCCAAATTGTCCCTTTCGCTCTCAATAGACTTGGCGCTTGCTACGAGACGTCCACCACCAGAGATTACCATTCAAGCGTCTTAGAAATAGATAACTTTTCGGCCAAGCGAACTTGATCGACACACATCTATTCAAAGAATAGATCAGAACCGATTAAAACATCTATGTGACATAAGGCTCTGCTGACTGCACGTTTTTCAATGTGTTCTAGCGGCTTAAGTTAGAGCTGATCCGTCTGAGTAGCCGAAGGCGAGGAATCTCGACTAGCAAGTCAATTGTCGTGGGTTCGAGTCTCAAGTGCGGTAGAGTTTTTGATAAAAGCCGATAGCCTTAGATGCTAGTGCTTTTAATAGTTTAGTCTTAGAATTTATTTCTCTGGCGAAGTTAATAATAATAATAATAATAAGTTAGAGCTGACGCTAGGTTGATAACTTGTTATAACTGGCAACTTGACAACTGACGTTAGAGTAGAATAATCTTTATGTTCCAAGTGCAAAGAGATATCGCGAGTTGTGATGAAACTCATCTGAGATACGAAATTTAAGCAGCATGAATGAGCTTTAATGAAATTTTACAGTAATTGCTGCTGTAGCATCAACGCATTTGAAGATAAAGTTTTTTTTTTGGAGTAACAGCTGATAATGATTGCATAAGCAGATCGCGCACTTGAAGATATGGCAGGATGTTTCGTAAACGTAAAGTCGAGCGGACTTAGGGACAACATTATCGAAATGCAACAGTGAATGGCGGTTCGCTGGGCGATTATGGCAGTGGCCGTTTTTGCAATTTCTTGTTGTGTGCGCTTTGCTTAGGAGTTGAGGCACAATTGCAATCTTTTGGTCTCGTCATGGCGTTGCGATGTGTTTAAATTTTCAAAATAACAATTATCGGTGTAATGCTCTTGGGGGCGCAAAATATACAAGAACGCGATGGCGCTGTAGAGGTGACAAGAGCATCTCGATCACGTGAAGAAATGAAAATCGAGGAACAATTGATGATTGTTGACTTATTTGTGTCTTTTTCATGACTCTTAGCTGGTAAGCGAGCTTGTCCTTGAACTCAAAGGCGAAATTAAGACGATTATTACTTTGAATTACCTGTAGCTATTTCCTTCCAAACAATATTGCTTGCCGAATGTTTTTAATTAGCTTTTCCTCATATTCCCTCGGCTATATAACGTTTAGAAGTGCGTTTAAATCGACAAATTGTTTTGACGCTGCAGCTACTCTTCTTTTTGAATAAAGTCACAATTGTACTGTTATTTTGGCGAGCGGCAGAGTAAGTTTTTATTAGATGTGGTTGCTGAACCTGAAAAAAGCAGACGGCCCAAATAAGTTTAGCATTACGCAAATCAATCATTGATCAAATCGGTGTTTTTAAACTCTAATTTTCACAAAAAATTTCATTCAGGTTTATTTAGTTGAAATATGGTTTGTTCGCAACTTATTGCTCAAATCGAATGTGTATTTAGTTCGCTTTTTTCAATATTAAATGAATTTTTAAAATGACCTACGGGCGATTTATACAAACACCTAACAGGGCGAAGATTTGATTGAATGAGTCAATAGTCTTTGAGAGCGACAAGTCGCTTAAATTTCGTTCCAATTCTGTCCCAATCCAATGTTTATATGTCCTTAGGTTATAAATAAAGTTTTTTTTTTTTGACGAAATAAACATATATTGTAATTATTCCAAGAAAAGATTTCGTTATTCAATTTATTAAGATGCATGCAATTAATCTTGTTTCTTAACTTTCAGTAAATCGTCTTTCTTGAAATCCTATTTGGATTCCACTGATAACGATTTCTACATTGTAAGCGAAGTTTTACTAAAAAATAACAAGATTAAAATTCTTGATTATACATCAATCACCAAATGTCGAGAGATGTTAGTACACTTATTAAAAATAGGAATTAATTTCGCATGTATTCTTTTCAGTTCAGCTTTTGCTGTTATTATCATCAAAACCATGAATTTTAAACCAAACATTTTCATTTTGTCCTGCTACTTTCCACCGGGGATTGATATATAGATCTTTTGTAATGAAATACAGATGTTATGTGACTTTCTTGACGGTGAACAAAGTGTAATTTTAGCCGGACATTTCAACGTTAGACATTGCTCGTATGGTAATAATCTCGCGACTAATGAAGGCAAAATACTTGCAAATACTGGAAGTTTTAAAACTCCAAGCTATGAAAAACCTACCTTTGACTGCAATCGGAACGGTCGGACTGCGAGTAGTGTTCTCGATATAGTTCTTTTACCATCTTAAGTGTTTCGCCATTTAATTGGAATACGGTTAATGCCTCGATTGGTAAAAGCCTACACTTTCCCATTTTATTTCAAAGCTACAACAGCAATTCGTTACATAAAATAGAAAATTTCAAATTCTTAATGGGTCGTCTGTCTAAGATTGCACCATCCGATTTATCATCAATTCGAAGATTTTCTCAATCCGAGATCAAGCCCGCTAGTACCAACTTTCCTGGTATTCACTTTTTCTCACCTAAATCTATCCCTGTCAAAACTTATCCGCATATATCAAGACGTGAGGAAAAAAATTAGTAAATATTTCAATCCCGCCAACTTCATTAAATATATGAAAAAGGAAGGAATGGAGATCCCCCGTTAGGAAGACCAAGCGAACACACAAAGCTATCAAGATTAATGAGATGCGTATCGGCAGCAATTTGCGCTGTGTTGGAATTGTATCAATGACTGTCGACAAATAAGTCGAAAAACAAATAGTTGCGTTACATAGCACGAGCATAACAATAAAAAATGAAATACCTTCAATGCCATTCACTCGATAATAAACTCTTATCCTTATCTTCTACTTACATATGTTCTACGATCAAGTATTATATGGTTAAGGCACCCTCTGGGGGAAGCTTGACTGTTTTGTTGCATGCAATTCATAATTGCTACACAAATAACATCATCGCTTTAAACTGCGATGTGTTGTTCCTGTTTCTAAAGCAGTTAAAAAGTTAAGTGTTTTAAGCAACTTTAGAATTTCGCTAATTTCAGTGTTCATTAATCCGATGGTTAAGGAGAGGCTGACGCGTTTCTTAAAAATCTGGAAGATAATTCCAACTCATTCTTACGTTTTTCAAAAACTCAAACCTACGAACACGTGCATCAATGAACTCTCTTTTCTCATAGCGAATTTGGAAAAAACTGGTAAAAAGGTTGTTACGCTTTCTCTGGATATCAGCGAAGCCTACGATTGCGTTAACTTAACGAAACTCGTTAGAATTCGTTTAAACTTTTCAATCCTTCTTCAAATGCAATGAAAAAATCTTTGGCAATGCAGAGCTTTAGTCCGGCCTACCATCGAGTTTGCATATACAGCATCTTGCAATTCTCCGAAATATGTAGAATAAGTAATGTGGGCATTCGAAAACAGAATGTGAAAGCCCTTTGCAGGACTGACATCCTCAACTGCTGAATATATCCTCAATGCAATTTCTGATGATTGGCCTACTTTCTGAAGGACTCCTTTTGTACTGCGAAGGCGTTAATTAGGGTTAAAATCACGAATCTTCCTTCTTCCAGAAAGGGCGATATAATCTCATGTAGCGCAATGCAGCCTAATATACGAAAAATCGCTTTCTATTGTCGATCTACTTTGGCGATTTAATAATAGGATAAAAATTCGGATGATTTAATTCACTCGAAACAAACGATTGCTGGGAAATTTAATATAAAAGATTAGACGCGCACTGGCTGGGAATAGTGCTAGCAATAGTGCAAAGATATATATGTTTAGAAAAAGTTCAGCATGGAAAAAAGCCCGTCCTTGCTTCAATGAATCAATTAATAAAAATGAAAAACCTACCACCAGACCAGACATAACACCTATTGTAAGCATTCTGAGTCAATTCAATGCAAATATTTATAAAGGGCATAGGAAAGGATTTCGTGGGTTATTTCATCATCCATTGTGGTGGTGGTATTGACGACAAATCACAGTTCACATGTAATACATTTAAAAACGTAACTGCTAAATGGGAATGTTGCAAGCAGCGACCATTACACATGCACCACTTATACTATATAACATTGATTTCTCTCTAATATTTATCGAAAATATACAACAGAAGGGTTTCGGACATAATGAAGCTAATAGAAAGTTCCAGCTTACTTGGACCTTCTTCTATATTTTAAAATTCATTGCCACTTTAACAAATTTACTTTCAGAGGTATGTTATCAGCGGCACACGTTTTGGCAATGGATGCCAAAAATCTTCTAGATGTAGTGGATACAATAAAGCAAAGATACGAGTCCATATTTATTGAATATTATGTAAGTTTTTCGCCATATTGGACTGTTCAAATAATGTTTTACTTTTTTTTATTTTCCACACATTAAGAGCTCCCTTGCCGTTACCACAACTAGTAACACCACAGTTGTTGAGCTCCTGAATGAAGATGGTTATCAAATAATGCAAAAACACTCTCTAGAACCTTTTTACTTAAACAGCAACGTGAGTCGTTTTTTAAAATGAGAAAAAGCGTATTCAAAAAATTTACACAAAGCATATTACAGGAAGTGCATACTGTGCCAACTGATAATCAACTTGATCATGTTCCGAGTCTAGTCCAAAAACCCGAGTTTGTCTCAAACAAAAATTCGAAATTTGCCAACAGTTTCTCTGATGAACATCAATCATTAAAAATAGTTGAGAAAATTGGCACAGCTAGTGAGACTAATTCTTCTAAGTTATAAACCAAAAGATATAAAAAGAAAGAAATTGCTCCAAAAGTTACTTTTTCTTTTACATATGTATGTATATATTATTTCTAACGACATAGAACATACTATTTCTAGCTTCTACCTATCTATATGTACTAATTAACCACCACTCAAATAAAGCAAAAGAACAAAGAGAATCAGCGACTGCAATCAAGATGAAACAATAGCAAAAATTTTTCGTCAAATAAAAAATAAAACAATTAAAGTCCATAAAACATATTTTACTTCACATTTGTTAATTAAGGCAAAATGAAAGGAAAACATAACACAAAACTTTTTCAATCTTAATTTTATAAAAGAAACGAAAATAAATCTCTCAGAATAAAAATGTAAAAAAACTTAGCTTCGAGTTTTATATAAAAGTGCAACTAAAAGTTAATATTTAGAACACTTCGTTACTAGGCCTTAATGACGTTTACACAAATTTGTGTACAATAGTACAGGCGTTTAATTTAAAAGCTTCAATTAAGTAACCAATTATTACGAAATGCAAATAGATTTATAATTAGTTCACCCATCTCATTATCGATTTTTAAACATTTTCGTTTTTGATTTAAAGGTAAGGCCAGCATATCATTCAGGCAAGTTAAACTGGAAATAAATGAATAACAGTGATTTGAAATAATTAGATCTTTTTTCGCACGTCGCTAAGCTTACCTTATATTGTTCAAATTTATATCGCAGTGAAAGCAATCCCTTAATTTCCATAAACCGTTGTTAGTAGATTCTACTATTGACAGTTGTCGCAGTTTATTTGGATCTCTTGTAAACATGATGACAAAGATGATTCGATTTTGCAGGGAATGTGGGCTTGATACTTTTGTTAGCAAATGAAACCAGTTATAATTGTGACTACTCAGGTTATTATCCTTCACATTTTTATCCGTTTGGTACAGCATAAAGAATTTCTTTTCCATACGTTTTAATCGATCATTAATAACCATATCGGTTTTATTGTATGTTGCCATTAGCAGACTAGAGACATTAAAGCCAACGATGAATTTGTTGGGCACCGCTTTGGGTCTAACTCCCGTTTTATCTGGCTGTTGAAATCCATACGCCAGATCTTCTCGGACCAATATTGTTTCAAGGCAATCAGTTAATATATTTTCATTTTGAGCAGCAGGAAACTTTGTGCGTCGATACTTTTCTATTGAATTGCAATTTTGCAAATAATTAATATACCTGCTATAAAAACACTGCCGAGTTTTCAATAGAATCTGCGCTTCTTTATAATCCATGACGAAAGAAATCCATTCATCCATATGAAAATGTGCTTGGAAGCCATCTTTGTCGGCCGCTGATGGAAAAATTTGGATATTTGAAGAGGACAACTTTGGTGATCCTAATGTTGGGACAGAGAACAAAAAATATTTGCCTGTTAGTCTATATTATGTTGCAAAGCTTAAAAACTAATGATATTATTGAATCTATTCGTCCACTCATTTTTTCGTTTATATATACATGGAAGCACCCAATTCAATTGACTCTTAGTAAGAATTACACCTTATACTAATTGATATTAAAAATTAATATTAAGTATATAAAGAAAAGTAAAGAAAAAAGCAAATAAATAAAAAACATGATGAAAGTATAAAAAGAGAGGGACATAATTCATGTGTAAGTAAATAAGGGAGAAAAAGAAAAAAGGCATGTACTCATTCCACACAGAGACACATCCACAGCCGGTACAGATCCAAGTTGTGAGTGAAGCCACAAGTCGTTGCAAATACGCAAAAGCTTAACAACTGGTAGCAGTAAACAACGACTCATAGTAGGATGTTAAGATTGCAAGTTAGTTTAAGTACGACATAGGCAAATCACGCGTATTGTTTTGCTAGAATTTGAAAAGTTCGGCCTTGAAATTAAGTGATAAGTATTATCTAGGTTTCTGCAAACGACTGAACGGATTGATAACCTTATAATTATGTTTACATTGACTAGGCTTTATTAAGATAAAGTATCTAGAGACGCGAGTTCCGAATCCGGTGTTCCGACATTAAAGTTTCTTTCACTAAGTAAAGTGGGCGAGTAGATAGTATAATTAAATAATTTAAGTAAGAAGGAAACAACAAGAAAAAATTCACGTTTCTCAAGTGACGGTAAGGCAAGCGGACGCAATCTATTCTCATAAGAATGCAGAGTGACAAAATTTCTGACGATGAAGGTAGCAAGAATTGCTTTGGCACATATTCCATTGAATCTACATAGCACATTTGATATGACTAAGCTGATGTATAACTTTTCTGTAAAAGAGGGTCATTAAGCTTTTTGGACCACCCTTGAATAAAACCTAGCGTCGACCTAGCTTTATTTAAATATAGAGGTCAATGTGTAAATTAAAACGTAATCTTTGGTCAAATAGAACGCCTAAAATGATGAAGGAATCTACGTTTTCCAATTTCTGTAAATTGATGAAGTACTCAGTATTGATGAATTACTCAGCATTTTTTTAAATTTAATTTCAGAAAATTTAAGTAGCACAATGTAACTAAATTGTCTAAAAGTCTAAGCTGATAGCCTTCGATTAGGGTTTTAAGACTTTAGTCCTAGAATTTATTTTCTGGCTAAATTAATAACAATAACTCCAACGAAAAGGAAGAAATCAGTTTAACATCGTCAGTGTATAAATAAAAGTGGAATAAATAAAAGAGACCCTAAGTGGCTGTGTTGAGGGAGGCTAGACGACACGGAAAATTTATCTGAAATGATAAAGTTAAAGTTCTGTTCTGTTTCCACTTTCATGAAGTGAATAAGGAAGCTGCCCTTCCAACGCAAAGAGATAACGCCTGATTTCAAGGACTGAATAAGTATGAAAAAATAAATGGGCCATCCGGCCTACACCCATCCGGCGATATATATACGGAGATTTTTCTTTTGGAGTTGACAAACTTATAAAAATATTTAGGATTAATAAGAATTGAGGATTTTATAAACTGAAGTCATCTGAAATAACATTGGTGGTTGAGGTAATTAAATCTATGCCTTGCAGCAGAACGATTCAACGGTCCATCATGCCTATACTGAAATGAAATGCAGATTACTGGATTATAGGGATCCTCAGGTAAACTAAAAGGTGGGCAGCGAGTAACCGATATCCCCGGGAAATTGGCAAAGCAAAGATCTAACAGTCTGCCATTATAGTCAGGAATACGGTTGTACTGATGTGGATGTCAAATAATTCATTGTGGTTGAAGTGGGGATCATATAGTCACAATTATCACTGTAAACACCAAGTTACTTGTGGCAAATTAAAGTCGTCCAACTCTGTGGCTATATCAGCAGGTCTAAACTTTTCGGCTACGTCACAAATGAGGGCAGCGTGTTCCTTATAAATACAGATATCCGCGTTTGGCGGAATATAGGAGCAAGTTACATATAACTGTTTGCTGCCAATTTTCGCCCATATAGCAATAAATTCACCATCAGGACGAATCGGAAATTCAAACGAATAGGAACAGATAGCAACAGATATGGTAATTAAAATACCACCACCAGTGCGATCCAATTAATCCTTTCTGGAAACCTGAAAAGAATTGAGGAAAAATGTGACTATAACCAGATTTCAGAGAAACTCAAAAGGGAAGCTCCTTGCTCATTGCATTTACGTAAGCAAAACGAATTTTTGAGTTGAAAGTTACTGGGGCTGTAAAAACTTTTAATTTTTTGGGGGTGGGAAGGCTGCTGAATTAGTATCACGGGGTCGATCGCGAGGGATGAATTCCTTTATTAAGAATCGAACCGCCTAAAATAGTTTATTTAATAAAATTTGCATGTTTGCAGTCGGAACTAACACGCTTCAAATTGGCGGATGTGACGTTCGCAGGAAGATAACTTTTTGTGCTATCCACAGCTGTCACGCACTAGTCTTGAAAAGAGTAAGCGTTCTTATTAGGAACGTTAGAAATAACGGGTAGAGAACTTTGCGTTTGGGAGAAAATTTGGATATCAACTTGCGTATAAAAACATCCAATGTTTCTGCAAGTCGATAGTTTAATATTTGCGGCCAGGAGAATGCTTATAACAGACATTACACAGGTGGAGGGGCATAGCTTACATCAGTTCAGAATTTGTTGGTGATTAAGAATATATACATTTTGTGGGGTCTCTGAAGCGTCCTTCGGCGATGCGTATAATAATGTAAGAACTAAGAATTAATTTAGTTTAACCGACTTCCGATAACGCAGATTGGTGGAAAAATTTCTAGGCAAAGAATGTTAAGAAACTAAAGAGAACGTTACTAAATTTCAGTTTGAGGCACTTATAAAATAAAATACTCTGTTGCCGTTCGTATGGAAAAAATCAGCTTAACACAATCGGTGAAATAGGACGCCCAAAACCACTTCACGGTAGCTGAATTCATGAAAATATGGTCGGACGTATTGCGCATACGAAGGCAGGAAAGGCCTTTTATGTTAAATGATTTACCTTGAGAAATTAAAAATGTAATAGCGGAAAAGAGATTCCGTTAATAGATTCGGTGTTAATTAAGTCTTCGAAACTTAGGTTCACTTACATTCCGTTCATTTGATTTCGAACATAGCGTCTCACAATATGTCACCATATCGATGGCAATTCTTCTTAATACGCATACATAATTTTGAAATGGGTTTCATCCTATTATAGGTAGTGTGATCTTACAAATATTTACATCGTAACAGTCGACACGAAGTTCGTGATAGCAACTGACGCGAAAGTGAGACTTATAACTCAGTGATCACTTCTTATCTTTGCTTTAATAAACGTAGTATTACTTAGTAACATCGATGGTATTATAAACATCACTTAAAAGCGGCTTTGACGAAAGATATATTCGCTGTGCCACAGCATCTTGAATTAAAAACTTTATCTATTTCCAATTTATGTCCAAACTATAACTTATTAAAAGAACGAGATATGGGCGAACATGGGGATCTAATGAGTAGATGAATATAACTTAACAAGTTTTTTAACGCACATAAAAATGTGTGAATTTATCTGTCAGCTCGAAAATATTTCTGAATAAAATGGACATTAAAATATGTTTAAATCATTTAATGATTACCGCCGTTTAAAAAAATTTTGTTATGAATAGCAGCCATTTATTACTCACAGTTTATAGTCATTTTTAAGAGATATTCCAATTACTCAGCACTTACCTGTAAACAAGGCAATACATATTGGAGACACTACTGTGCCGTAATTAATGCTATTGCATCTTCCGCTATTTGCTCGTTTGCCATAAACGATCCAATCAGAATTAATTTTTCTCGCAACCATTGTCGAGGAATTTGCGTAACCATTGCCAAAGAATTCAAGACTCCTTAACACTGAATCAGGATGTAAAACTAGTTCGCGTGTTTGTGGAGACTTAACACAATTTATTTTTGAGTCCACTAAACATATGTTGGGATAGAGGCCTCCAACCAGCACGGCTTTAATGATTGGCCAACTATGAGATTTCATATTAATATAGTGCATACTTAAGACTCCTTTACTGTGTATAAGCTGACAAGATCGTAAGGCTCCCACCAATTGGGTGCGTATATCGCAAATCTGCTCAAGCAGACCGTTCAATATGAAATCGTATTCATTAGGTAGAGGGCCATTATTTTCATCATGCACATCATTTTGCCACTCTTGATATAAACGTAAGTACACAAAATGATCAGACGCTATCCCTTCAGACAAACGTGAACGTTCTTTTTTCATTTTCGTCCGTATGGCGTCTTTAAATGGTTCAGTAAGGTCGTCAAGGTAATTATTTAATTCAAAAGGATCTAAAGTAGACATGAAACTGACTATAGTGAGAACAGGATCTATACATTGCAAGAGTACTGCGAAAACCAAAAGTTTTCCTAGAAGACAATCGACAGGTACATCGACTAATCGACACCCCAGCCAAGTAATGTCTTCCGTTTCAGAAAAAACATCGATTTTCTTTAAATGCTCCACACATCGAAATACTTGCGGGAATGGTGGCTTTACAATGGTTTCTTGTAAATACTCGGCTACCATTCTGTGGGGCGATAAAAGTTTAACAGACAAACAAACGCGATCTAAAGGTATAGTCAGCAATTCGGGTGTGATTGCCTCAGGCAAACATTCGAAAATACAAAATGGAATTAAGCGAAAACAAAAGCCTAAAAAAACGAATAAATATGTTAAAAATTAATGCTACGCTGTTTTACAACACTTGCCTTTGTTAATAAGTAAAAGCTTACGACTTTCCATACTTTGTTTTGAGGTCCAATCATATGCATTTTCTTTATGAAGTGAGTTATTGTAGTAAGTAATCCTGCGCATACGCCCAGTGTCGATGACATAATGCACATTCTTCCAGCAAGACAATGTTTCGGCGATGTCTGTTGCCAGAATAATTTTTACGAAATTACTCGAATGCTCAGTAATTATGTCTAGTTGACATTTTTCAGTATTTTTATGCAATAAATATACTGCAAGATTGTCTGGTAAGTTTCCCAATATCTTCTGCTTTAGTATGTTATAATTTGCACGCAATATATGTTCATATGAAGGTAAGAAAACTATAACGTCACCTGCGTATCAAGAAGAACGTTGGTTGCAGAATGTTTTTCGATTTCGAAAACTTACCAACTTTCCATTGTTCAGTGGTGCATATCATATGTATTATATCAATAATCAAGTAGTGATCAATATATTCCTTATCATTTGATAAAATAATATTTTTCTGAACGTAATTCTCTTTCAGTGCATCTGCACAATCCAGATGGCCCATAGAAAGCGCAGCGTTAAAGGCGTTCATTTCTTGTTGATCACAGATATTAGGGTCAGCATTAAGAAATATTAATGTCTTAACATGATCAATTTTTCCAAGTAGGGAAGCTAATAAAAGAACTGTTCTACCAGTAATGGTATGACGATAATTAATGGAAACGCTTTCGCCATGAACCATATATAAAATTGATTGGAAGGATTTTTCATTTGGTAATTGCTGATAGATTTCCAAGCAACTATCTAAGTAAGCACTATTTATGGTTTTGTTCGTCTCGGGCGGAAACAATTTGGAAGCTTTTAAAGCAGTCTTATAAAGACGTCGTTTAGGCAAAATTTGATGTATATTTTCTATATATAAAATTTGAGGTTGCTGTCCTTCCGAATCATTAATATCTGGCAGGTTTAGTCGCTCCCCCTCCCCAAAATAGTTTATAAACTCATCATTAAATTGGAAATTCGATAACAATAATACTTTCAAATGTGCATGATATTTTAAAGCTTCTTTCAGTTCTCGAAGTAAGAGGTCGGCAAACGCTTCATGTAAATGAGCATCCACAATAACAACATGAGATATGTGCCGAAAACTATCGGGTATCGATTGGCCCATCAATACTCTGAGGAAGAAGTTGGACGTAGTATATATTAGATTAGATGAATCACTGATTCGACTTTGTAATTGAACTTGAAAGGCCACCGTCTCGCCAATTCTTTCACGAAAATGTTCAGCTAACCGTCTACTATTGTATATGGCTGTTAACTGCTCCCTTTCCACACAAACAATTTTGCAAGGCAATTTTTCATGGGCACATTTTTCTATGATATACATGGGTATGGCGCATGATTTGTCTAGATTAGAAGCACCATTTATTACCATAACTCTGTTACATTGTAAGCCGTCCAATATCATTTCTTTATATGACTGCATCGCACAATCCTTTTGATAGCTAAGCTGCGCTGTTGGGTTTAAACGAGTAATTGACTGTTTAAGAGGAAACGAAAACCGATGCGGTGGAACTGAAGGCGTAGAATTGCTAGGACATAGGAATTCAGGGGACATATGCATGTCAACCTGGTTACCTGCAAAATTTGAACCACTTTGTAGAATATACATGTCCTTCACTGAATCACGGATGAGGTGTAAAGACGTCATATTTTCAGTAATATGTTGGCATCCGTCTTTGAACACCAGTATGAATTCCTGACCGTCGTGTGTACATAGTCGCATTCGCAAATGTAAGTCATTTATGGTTTTCATAAAGGAAGTCCGATCAACAGCATAAATGAAGCTATAAAACTTTTTACAGCATTTGTCTCCATAATATAATTTTTTTAGTTGTTCTGACATGTAAACCTGAATAATTTTGTTTGACATAACAGAAAGCTTACTTTTTGAGAACACACTTTATTTTTTAGAGGGCCAACAGACTAAAACGCCACAATCACGATCAAATAATCAAGAACCGTTATCTGCTATCGAATTTTGCAAACTTAGCTGAATGAAGGTGTTGCCGTATGTAGTGAAAGTAAAAATATGGTTTAAAGTAGAAAACTAATGTCGACAACACAATAAACTTTCGGGTTATCAAGCTTGAAAATTAAATTAAATACATTGAAGCAATGAATACATAAACATATAGGAATTTCCGGGCAATATTATCATAAAAAGTTACTTAACCTGTTTTCAAGGCTTCGCAATTCGTATGGTTTTTTATGTTAGCCAACAAATAAAAATGGGTTTGCTATATGTTACAAAAGGAAGCAGAAGAACAAAGAACGATTATTGCAAATTTAAAATTTATGTTTCAAATTATCCTAATCATAAAAGAAATTTCTCGCCCTGTAGGCTTTCCAAACTTCACTGACAGGCATAAAAATCGCGTTCATCGGGCTTACCATACCCTCCGAAGAGCAAAATGTAAAAACTGATGTAAATATCAGCAAACGACATATGATATTAAACGATTAATCTACGTGTAAATAAGAAATGTATAAAAACTAACAAATTTAATATGAAGCACACTAATTTTATTCGGCTGTGCCTATATCATTTAAAGTCATCACCTTTAATCTAACAAGCTTAAAATAACGGAATAGACAAAACTTTGATGTAATACAACATGGGGTCGGGTCAGGTTTATTCCATTTTTGTAATTGTAAAAATGTAAACCCGGTAATTTTTATCCATTATTTGTTGAAGTTGTGGGTGAATAAAAACGCAGAAGGTGTTTCGAGCCAGAAGGTAGACTTCCTTGGTGCAATTTGACTCCTGTCCCATTTTAAAATCTTCCCGCAAGACCTCCAATCTTTTCGTTATATGTGAAGCCGACATCTTCCGAAACGGAAAAATGTTTACCACAAACATCACGCAAACGTTCAATCAAACATTCTTAAATAAATTCAAAATTTAATGCTGCTTAAGAATATATATACTCTTCAGGATCTTTGAAGTCTTTTTTTAAGCATTAGAAATATTTTAAATAAATGAACGCACAGTCATTCTTCTGTGGTGAATATAACAATACGAGAAAAATTGGGCACTGTTTATGTATGGTGTTAACTAGGTCTTATTTTCGTGGTTCGACCTTTTTAGTCAGGTGCAACATATGCGAAAAACGTTCTCCCAATATTGTAAAACAGCCGTAAGCAAAATTGCACGCGCCTTGCGTTGGAATTGGTTCATCTGAGTTAATATTGATTGTGTAGACGTGCATTTACATGAGAAAGCAGCTGTAAATTGCAAATAAAATAAATTGCGATCAAAATAGTTTGCTGACAACAAGCTGAATCAAAATAAAAATTTTAAATTTGCCTGTACTTTATTATTCATAGCTCATTGGAATTTCAGGCAATTCCATATGCCATCGGTCACCAAAGCGACTCATTAGTTGTAATTTTTAATTGGTTTTTTTTTTTTCGTTTGTTCTGTTAGAAGGGCTTAATATTCCATGTCATTTAATTTTTATTTTTTTTCGGATGTTGAGTTAAGATGAACCAAGCTAATAAATTTGTGGCTTCTATGACCAGATAATAAAGAGTAACTATTAGCAAAAAATGTATATAAAAAACAACAAGAAAGAAGCCAAAAGAACTTCTATTACCATCAAGTCTGTGACATCTAAAATTTAGATGCTCAGCAGACTTGCTAATATTGCAAACTTCAGAAACATTAAATGATATAGCACGAATCCTTTTAAATATACTTTATAATAAGTTTGATCACTCATGAGTGTATAAAGAATTTAGATTTCCCAGGAATTGAAGAAAGCCTGTGATAAAGGTTTAAACCGAAATACGGGTTTTATGTAATACAAAAGGCTTTAACTTGAAAAGGATTTAACACCCGCAATTTCTTTAAATCCATCACTTAGTTGTTGGAAGATGTGGTTAGAATTGTCCTTATTGCTTCGTTGGAAGTATGTGCGCAATTCTTCGAACTTGAGCCCTTTTTGCACGAAAGTCAGTTTTTTCGCTTAAAAAAACGCAGTGACCAGGTGTCTAAACAAGGTGACAGCCATCCACTTGAGATTCACGTAACATCCAGTGTATGTCAAACACATATTGATTATCTGCATTTTTTTTTTTTTTTTGGGAGCAGTGCTGACTTACTAGCAGAAAAAACGACAAACTTGTTGATGCCACCAAAAATAGCCACTTTAATAGTCTGATGACCAGCAATTCTATAAAAGTCGAGGAAAATTCCTCCGAAACTTTAACTTTATGTACAATTTTAGACAGATGCTTCTCCACCGAGAAGCTAGATTTATTATGTCCAGTGGACCCGTCAGTGACATATATGTCACAGTCGTTGTTGTTATAAAGAAAAAGCTTTTCTTGACATAAGATGCTCATACAAGGGCGGTTCACATTTTGTTTCGAGGTAGAGCTCGATTCAAGAATGTTCATGAAGACTCCACATTTATTGATAACAAAATTCCAGAGAAGGATGGAATTTATCGTGTCAAAAATATGACGCAGTTTATATAATAAAATGTGTAGCTGCAAGAGACAGTATTAAGAAAGAAAAAAAGAAGGATTCGTTATCTTGACCTTAATTAACTCCTTAGCAATACATAAACGAGCTCTTTCGGAAGCGGACTATTCACCAGACATGACATTGATGAGTTGAGGGTGTCAGTCCAGTACAACGTTTTAACATTCTATTTTCAAATGTTTGTATAAGTTTCCCAACATACTTTGGAAAACTACAAGATGTAGAGTGTGCAAATTCAATCTTGGACCTGACTTAAGCTTTGTACGCAAGTAAGGCTTTTTGGGCGGCAAGTCTGATTGATTGTTAGTCACGAGTTTGATGATATTATATCCAGATTTACAATCTTTGAAGGTCTTCTCATAAAGCCCACGAAGAGTTAGGCTATTATTTAAAATCCTACCAAGAAATCGAAGGACTTCACCTGATTAATTTTAGTTTCTTTGATAAAGAGCCTAATTTCGCATTTAGAACCTTTGGTACAATAAATAGTATTTGTTTTATTGAGTTTACAATATAAATTATTATTTTTGTTATAATTTTAGACTAATGAAATAAATTCTTAGATTAAAAAAAAATATTGAGCACTAGCAACATAGGCTATCGGCTCTAATTTATGTAAATGTACATTAGATATTGGGTCTAGTAGTTTTAATAAAGTAATATATTGAATTGATATTATGTTCTGAAACTGATTTAGGAATGTCCAAAGGGTTAATCGTGCCAAATGCAATACTTCTATGTGTGTGCTTTACAGTGAGAGTTTGTCCACAACTGCAGATTGGGGAGGAAGACTTCTTCAAGATCCATTGGTGAGTTTCAATTGTATGACCAAGGCGAATACTCGAAGATTTTTGGGTTTTGGTTTTCTTAACATTTGTTGGATATAAAGGTGGAGTTAATTGAGGATTAATGGAAGGGTAGTGTTGATGAAGGTATTGTAAATTTCCTTCTGCAATTTTCTCTTTAACTTTTCTTCCAATGTATTTTTGAAGATCCAACTTTTCCATGACATCATCCATAATTAGAGGAGCAGAAGCAGCATACTTTGCCGCTCGATCAGCCTGCTCATTTCCCAATAAATCGATGTGACTAGGTACCCATAACGTTCTTATTTTTTCGCCGGGTGTTGTAATGATATTCCTTAATTTTTTGATGGTGCTCCATCTCGAAGGGTTCCGAAAAGCTTATAATACAGACAAATTGTCGGTAACAATGACGGTTTTGAGTTTGCTTTTATGGGCAAGGTTCGCAGCGTGAATGATAGCGCTGGCTACGGTTGTGAACGTTGAGGTACTTTCGTGAAAAGTGTGATTGAGAAGAACCTGTCCTGTAGGAGGCAGGCCAAAAGATTTTGAGCCGTCTGTGTATAAAAGATTCCAACCAGTACTTTCCAATATTTAGGTTTTTTCAGCTATTAGATTCCTGAAGACGTAATTTGGAGTATCTTCTTTCTTGTGCATAAACAGCGAGATGTCAAAAGAGCATTCTTTCAAAATCCATCGAGGTTTAACATCAAAAGAGCAGAAAATTTTTAAGGGAATGTCCAAGTCCTTTGCGACGTACAAACAATAGTCAATTGCAGGTGGTGACTTTGGAATTTTCTTCACAATAATAATCTTTCTCACGTCATCACCGAGAATAGATGTGTTTGTATTAAGAAGCTTGGGGAATATTTTGGCTTTTAAAGCATATTCAATCTTGCGTAACATAAGCATTTTGGTAAGATAAGCAATAATGTTAATATGCGCATGGGTTCTCCAAGCAACGTACTGTATGAAATTCACCCTTGTTAAAATAGAATTTTTTAACCGAAGACAGTGTGCTTTTCAACCTGCTGCTTTTCACCTTTTTGCCGTGTGATCCAGGCGTTGGCAGTTTTTACATCTCATTGGATTTGGTATGTAGAGATCTACTTTACATTTGTACCAAGTTACATCAACAGTTGGCGGTAGCCGATAGCGGTAAAAAGTCAAAATAATTCTTCCCGTAGGCGAGCGGGTTTTTCCATCGTCATTCAATTTGGTGAATTTATAGACTTCAGTCACTCCTTGACTGTCCATTTCGCGAACAATTTCATCTTCCTACACATGCTTTAAGCATGGGGCATAAACTACGTCTTTAACCGAGTTCAGTTTGTCATGCAGTTTAGCGGAAATAGCACATAGATTAGCTAATGATTTAGATTTTATGAGGGTTTCGGTTGGGCGCGGACAAGTACGCCATCGCGTAGAATCGAAATAGAGTCTATATATGTTGTAATGCTGTCTTTTTAATAGCAAAAGGGCTGATTTGAGAAATTGTTATGGTAGGATCAGTTGAAGAAATCACAACATACAATAGGAATGATGTTACTAGTTGGCAACACCGGAAAATCCGAATTTTTAATTTTTTTGCTTTGGGGGGATACGTCCGCTAATAGATGAAATCTATTTGTGTTTTTATCTGGCGGCCCC